GTTTCCTTTGTAACACATTAGTTATTTGAAAATATGAATCTCCTTCTTCTGACTCTCGTCTTCTCTCCTCACTCACAGCTACCTCAGGAGATTATCTCCCCTATTTCTCTTTCGGTCTCTTTGTCTTTGGTCTATCTTTCTGTCTGTCTATCTCTTTGTCTGTGTTTAGATGTTCAGAATTCCTGATTGTTGTCTCAGTCTATTTCTATCCCCTTGTGCCGACATGCTGCTCAGGAGTATATCCGTAGACAGCTGGAAGAGGAACAGAGGCAGTTAGAGATTCTCCAGCAGCAGCTACTACAGGAACAGGCATTACTGCTGGTAACCATAGCCCTCCCACGTGCTACTACTGCTCCCCATCTGTGCTTTGTGGCCCCCTGTTCCCATTGCATGCACCTAAGTGGCAGTTGTACAGAGGAACTAACCGTGAAGGAATCCACAGTCTGAGTCACTCAGTCTGTTAGCTACAGATCTGAGGAAAACACTGAAGTGGAAACAGATATTTCTTATGCTTCTTTTGAATTTACTCAGATCAATGTTGCATGTACAGAACCAATAATTTGGCTGGATCTCAAAGGATTCCCCAGAGGAAGCAGAAGAACTGTTTTGTCAGCCCCGACCATGTTGGCCCACACAAAGTGAACACATCCAAGGGAAAATAAGACATCGTTGTTTCCATGAGTGTTATCTAATGCCCCAGTCTCGTCTAGGGCAACTGTTTTGTGGTTTATTAGTGCAAGAAATACTTGAATCTCTCCTTGCATAATTTCAAAGAGAAATGTATTCAGCCTGAAAGCTTTGAGATCCAACCCATCTAAAACTCCACAGGCCAAAACAATGTCTCCAAGCACCAAAAGTGAAGTGTAAAGGATGAAAGATGTGTTGTGGTCTTCCCCTTGACAGACTGAGTAACAGTGCTCTAAATTCAACACACCTGGAAACTTATAATAAATGCTAAAAATTATTTGCAGATACAAATTTTCTCACCACTGATTATTAAAGGACTGATCATTGTGTAATAATAGCTAAACTGTTTTGGTTTTAACCTCCGTCTCCCTATGTGTCTGTCACCATCTCCTCTTCCTCACCCTTTCATCCTCGCTTTCCTCCTATACCAACCCTCATTTTCTTTCTGACATGTGTACTTCCCCTCCTAGGAGTACAAGCGTAAGCAGATAGAGGAGCAGCGGCAGGCAGAACGGCTGCAGAGGCAGCTCCAGCAGGAGAGAGCCTACCTGGTGTCTTTACAACAGCAGCAGCAGCAGGAGGGAAGGCCAGCAGAGAAGAAACAGCTTTACTACTACAAAGATGTCATCACTCCTAATGACAAGCCTGCCTGGGCTAAAGAGGTAAGTCCCAACATGCGTGGCATACAAAAACATGCATGCAAATATGAATCCTTGGGCAAAAAAGCTAATGTTTTGGACTCCCCGCATACATTATGCATACCCAGTGGCCTTGTGTTGTTAATATCTTATTTGACAGGTCAAGATGCAGTGCTTCTGTAAGGAAAGTATGGGATCCCACTTTAAAATATGTTTTTTGAGCCTGCACATACTTGAGAATCAACTCTCCTGCTGCAGTACTGTGATGCCTCCTTTGCCTGTTTGTTTTGTTGCTTACCTTCCTCTGACTCTGACTCCTAGGTCCCGAGGCAGCTGCTTGCTCATCCACCTCACTCTCACCTACGACATCATCAGTCATTCAGCCAACCAGCTTCATCCTCTGGCTCTAACGGCCAACTCAGAGCTCAGGCCCCTAGGCAAACCCCAGCCCACCTCCCCAATATCCACGTTTCACTGCCCCCTGAGGAATCTTTAGATCCAGAACTGAAGCAGAAGATAAATCAGCAGTTTAGAGAGTTTGGGGCTCAGAAATGTCGTCACAGAGGTCGCAGCCCAGGGCACATCCAGGAGCTCAAACTGGCTGCTGGCCAAGAGTCTGGATCTATCCCTGTTTCCAACCCTGTGGTCAAACTGGTTAGTGGTCGTTTTCGTAGCAGATCACTGTCACCCTGCTGTAGAATAGATGTAGATATAGAACCCAGTTATGAGAGAGAATGGGAGAAGCAGAAGAGGTTAAGTGTCAGCCAGGAGAGCTTTTTAGTTCCCCTGGACTGGCAGGACCCAGCTGCCCCCCTCTCTCAAAGCTCTCTCTACTCTGCAGTACCTGGACAAAAGATGTCCTACTCACCTGCCACCAGTAGTGACAACCTTCTTCAAGTCCCTGATAAGAATAACTTCCCTTTCCTTCATCCTGATGGGGACAGAAGAGGTGGGCGATACAGCCATGGCGCACGTAGAGGTAGCTCCTCCATGTGTGACCTTAGTACTTCGGCCCCAGCAGACTTACTCAAACAGAACTTGGCTCAGTGTAAATTTATGACTAGCAGATCACTGTCACCCTGCGGTAGAACAGATGTAGATATAGAACCCAGTTATGAGAGAGAATGGGCTGCCTATCTGTCAGCCAGGAGAGCTTTGTAGTTCCCCTGGACTGGCAGGACCCAGCTGCCCCCCTCTCTCAAAGCTCTCTCTACTCTGCAGTACCTGGACAAAAGATGTCCTACTCACCTGCCACCACTAGTGACAACTTTCTTCAAGTCCCTGATAAGAATAACTTCCCTTTCCTTCATCCTGATGGGGACAGAAGAGGTGGGCGATACAGCCATGGCGCACGTAGAGGTAGCTCCTCCATGTGTGACCTTAGTACTTCGGCCCCAGCAGACTTATTCAGACAGAACTTGGCTCAGTGTAAAATTATGAGTAGCCACTCCTCTGGTCACTTGGGATCCAGCGTTTCAAACACTCCAGCTCCTTGTTTGGGCCTTTCTCCTTGCACCTCTCCAAAAAGCTCGCTCTCATGCTCCCAATCGTCCTCAAGCTCAAAGTCTTCCAGTGTCTTTTCCCCTCCATTCTCTCCTGACAACTCTTGGTCTATTGAGGATCACAAATGTTCTCCACCTTTCCATGCCCACCTCTCCCCTGGCAAGGTCTTTTGTCCTTTCTTCATGTCACCTGCCTCAACTCCCCAATGCATCCCGCATGGCTCTCCCTTTGAACACCAGACCTGCACTTAGACCACTCTCCAAAACAAATACTTATAAAACTACACACGCACACACATTTGTACTTCTGCCTTTGTGATTGGGATAATGTGTTCCCTAATCCCTAACCCTATTTGTTACAATTAAAATCCCAACCCTAATTATTTAGAGCTGGTTGATATGACCTTTTGGCACACACATTATTTGTGAATCCAAACTCCAATGTCCCTTTGCTGACAGATTAACTCAAAATACACTATAATTAACAGTCAAAAATGTCCTTACCTCTGTCCCCAACCTCAAGATCTAAAATTCAAATCAGTCCTCACAAAGACAAAAGTACAAGAGCATACATGTACACCGATCAGCCATAACATTATGACCACCTGCCTAATACTGTTTACATAGAAGTCAATGTGGCAGTTGGTTGGCACTCGTGTCAGTCTGTAGCTCACTGTGCATCTTCTGTGAATCTGTTTGCTTCCATAGTTCTACTGTCAGGAAGCGCACGGCTTTGTCAACCATGCAGTGAACAAACTTATGTTAAAGGAGTGAAAACTATGGTCGTGAGGACAAGTTCGAGAGAATTTTTTTTGGACAAATTCAACCGGCCTCACTACTCTAGTTGTGATATCACCACTACAGCTCCTGACTCTTTCTCTTCATAGAGAAGAATGTGCAGTATTTCTCATTTTCAACCATTTTAACAAAAATTCAAATATTTAAATGGAAGTTAAAAGTTTAATATACAGTAGGACAATTTCATGATCGGTGAGCTATGGGCATCCATGACCCTGTCACCAGTTCGCCTTTTGTCCTTCCTTAGACACTGTTGGTAGGTACTGACCACTGCAGACTGGGAACACCCACCAAGACCTGCAGTCTGGGAGATGCTCTGACCCAGTCATCTCACCATCACAGTCTGTCAAAGTCACTCAGATCCTTACACTTGCCCATTTTTCCTGCTTCCAATACATCAACCTTGAGGACTGAGTGTTCACTTGCTGCCTAATATACCCCACACACTGACAGGTGCCACTGTAATGAGATAATCAGTGTTATTCACTTCACCTGTCATCGGTCATAATGTTATGGCTGATCAGTGTATATACATATTGTACATACAATACATGCTATACACATGCACACACAGTGTGCATTACGGACTTGTTAATATATCTACAGGTATCTCTATAAATTGTTTTATTGTAATTTACACATTTCTTTACTCATATAGATTATATATAGAATTACATATCGATTTTTTTTTTTTTTTTTTATACTTTTTGTACTGTGCTTGAGATCCAGAGGAGAGGTGCCAATATTCAGGGACAGTCTAATATCATTCATTCTGTAGCCAGCTTAGTTAACCCCATCCCCCCAGACCAGCCAGACCCCTTGTGACCCATATCACTCAGCGCACCCTGGCGATCCTACTTCTGCACATACTGGAGTCTTTGTCATCGGGGCAAGCCACCCATCATAACTTCCTTTTCGGTCAGTCAACCAGTCAGTTTAATCCCAGTTTGGTGGCGGGTGCTGGCCGAGTGGTGGTGGGCTCCTTCTAACAAACCTGGATCACCAGTGATGCCCTCTGTCCTCCATCTGTTCTCCTTCCTCATATTTTTGTATATTCTTTATTTGCATAGATGCAGCTGTGGTCACAGTTCATTCCCTCTAATGCTCCGTTTTCTCTATTAGAGTCTCCGCCATAGTAAAAGGAGCTTTTGGGTGGGAAACGCATGATAAATACACAGTGAAACTTTAATCAGCACTACCCAAAAGGTCTTTCTTCTGTGAGTGGATCTTATAATACCAAACTCTGTCTCTCACAGGTATTTGATCATAGCACTACTTATCCTGAATGACCAAATGTTTCTTTTCCTTTGGTTCATTTTACTACTGTTTGTCTCTAACTGATCCCTTCAGTTGTTGCCTCTCATCTCAAGTGAACAATTGAAGTGTTCAGGGACTTTTCTGTGAGCATAGATGTCATAGTTGTCTCAGTGTAGATGATTAGACAACTAACAAAGATTTGAGGAATGACACACTATTGCATAGTTCTTCTGGCTAGGTTATAATCATAAATAATCCTCTTAGATTATGTGTTCATATGGAATTACAGAATGGCTCTAAAAGTTCTAATTACATATGCATGTTTACCTGGGGAATATTGACATTGTGCCCTGCTGAGCCATGCCTCAATGCTCCAGTGACCATTGAGCAGATTGTTCAGAGTAGAAAGGTGTGATATGGGCAGCTGGGAGAAATCCTCAGAAACCTATCTCACCGCACAGTTGATAATCTGTTCACACTGGAAAGAGGGGCTTTCTGCCTTCCTCACACAGATACTCAGTGCACATAGGCATTGAAACACATGTGCACTCCCACAAGTCAATGAAAATTCTAACTCGTATGCACACAAACAGTTGAACTTGGTTTAATACAGTACGTGTGCACACATATCTTTGCACATACTCGAATGTGTGATTTTGATTTGGATGTGGTGTCTTCCAAAGAAATTTACGGATCCTTCTTAATCTTTCCTCAAAGCCACCAGACACTCATTCTCCTCAACTGCATGTGGGACATGGAGAGACAGTACATACACAAACAAATGTAGGAAACAAAGAAGATACTAGTGACTGACAAGTGTTTCTCTGGAAGTGTAGACACACCTTAACTATGACATTCCACAGAAAGAGAATAGGGCTTGTCAATCAACAAGGCTTCCATGGAATCTTTCATAACATTATTTTTATTGCCCGAAAAAGGGTTCAGAGTTCATGCACACACAAGCCGCGAGTGATTTGTGTCAGGTTGACTGTGGACCTGTATGTTCAGTTACTTTTTCTCAAGAACTTCCCCTGATCTGCTATGGATTGCATTTTAATTGCCCTGTAGCAGTAAACAAGCGTTTCTCTGGAACTGTAGACACACCTTAATTGTGACATTCTACAGAAAGAAATTAGGGCTTGTCAATCAACAAGGCTTCCATGGAATCTTTCATAACATTATTTTTATTGCCCGAAAAAGGGTTCAGAGTTCATGCACACACAAGCCGCGAGGGATTTGTGTCAGGTTTGATTTGATTTGATTTATTCTTTCAAGCATGTAAAAACAGTTGATATGTCAACACACATAATTTTACACATATCCAACAAATGCTAATCCAATATCAGTTTGCTTATACCTAGTACATGCTTGAATGGAGTAGGAAGAAGTCAGACTTATCCAGTCCTACCCCCTGACATCATCTTACCATCATTGGTTTGCAAGCAGTATCTCTACATAGATAATTCTCTTCTACACCACACAAGTAATATACTAAAGAATTATAACAGAGTGTTAACATTCGTACATAATTACATTCTTAAATACTTATCTTCTACACCACACAAGTAATATACTAAAGAATTATTACAGTGTATTAACATTCATACAACACACCCACAATGTTCCATCTAATTAATCATTAAACCTGTTCTTGCATATATCTTGATTGACACATACCTTTATATTTATGTTTAAACTCGTCAATTCTATTACTATTTTTTATGTCCGCACTTA